GGGGGGAGAGGACGCCCTGGAGCTTTGACCCCATAAGCCCTGGTTGCCCTGGGCAAGCCCTGTGAGGCCCCTTCCCTGCAGGAACCTCTGCTTGCGCCCCATGCCTTCCCCAAAGGCGGAGGGGCAGGCCCGGCCGGACACGGGTGCTACTCCTTGCCCTCTGCCCGCAGGGTCAGCGGCTCGGGCCCCGGGGAGGACCACCTCCTGGAGGACCTGGAGACCGAGGGAGAGCGGCAGCTCAAGACCCTCCTGCAGCACCAGCTGGACACCTCCGCCTCCCTGGAGCAGTGAGTGCGGAGGGAGGGAGGGAGGGAGGGAGGGAGAGGAGCCCCCCACCCCCATCCCCGGTCAGGGCTCCCTCAGGCCATGGGGGGGGGGGAGACCAAACCGAAGGGAGACTGCGAAAGGGAGAAGGAAGCGCAGGGGCACCTCTGGGAAGGAAGGCCGGCCCTGGTGACCCAGCTGCTCCCTCTGGGTCTGAGAAATCACACCCACCCCAGGCTGAAATGGGAGGGGGGGGAGAAACGGGGCAAAATTTAACTCCCTCTTCCCTGGTTTGCTCTCCTGAGAGGTCTCTTTAAGTCCAAATTGAAATCAGGGGTGGTGTGTGTAGACTTGGGGGGGGGGAGTGTGGGATTCCCGGGGAAGCATCCCCCCCCCCACCGCCCGTCCCATTCCAGGCTGGTGTTCCGTCCCTGCAGTTGATCTCGGGCTCTGGCCGTGGTCCTGTGCCCTTGCTGGACGGCCTGGCCCAGGGGACGGCTGCCCTTGGGCCGCCACCTTTGTTCCGGCCACTTCCCTGACGCTGCTTTGCCCAGCAGGTGCCTGTCCAAACGCCGCCGCTTTGCCCCTGCGGCGCTTTACAAGCCCTTTGGGGAAGAGGCCGCCGGGACTCACAGCTTGCTTCAGTTCCAGGCTTTGCAGGAGAGCAGCCAGGAGACGGCCTCCTTGCGGGAGCTTGGCCTCTCGGAGGCCGAGATCCACCTCTGGAAGAATCGCGTGTCAGCGGGCAAGGTAGGAAGGAGAGGGCTGCTGGCCCTCCGTGACCC